AAAAATTAGATTTTTAAGAAATTTTGAAATTTTTGAAGAAAAATGACTCATGGAAAATTTTTTTTGTTTTTATATTTTGATTTTTTGTTTTTGTATTTTGATTTTTTTTGAAAATTTCGAACATTATTTTTAAGCAATCGCGCTGCATAGCTGATTTAGACCAGAAATATCAAAGCGCGTAAGCGCCGCGTAGTCGTCTAACGTGTCAACATTGGTTCATAACTCATATAAATGTACACAAAATTTGTACTTATCATTATAATCTTTATAAAATATCTGATAATACGATGTACATATATCAAATGTTCATTTTTGCCCGCTAAATGGCATTATTTTTTACTTTTTTTATTGGATCTCCGAAGACGCTGGACCTGCATTTACAAAAATTTTACCAGTTGTTCATTTCGTCAATACAAGTAAAATGTTTTTTGAATTATTTAAATTTAAAAACTGAAATATCATTTTTGGCACTTTTTGCCCCGTATCTCCGAAACGGCTAGTCCTACCTTTGCGAAGAACTAATCAGCACATCTCCCTATCGGTAGGAATCGAATATTTTTTAAGCTATCCAAATCGGTTGATCCGTGTTCGCGAAATCGTCGACGAAAATTTGTATCCGCACACACATACACACACACTTACATCCATTTTTTCTAAGGTATGCCAGAATGTTCAGAAAACTGAAGATATATAAAATAATTCATTTTTGATTTTTTATATTACTATAACTTAGCCTACGAGAAGTTAATAATATAATATTCTTAAATTATTTCATGAATCTTAACAGAACAGGCTCGGCCGATAGTTGCGCAAAACAACGTGAGTCCTTTAAAAACGGTGCATTCGTTCTAGAGAAAATGTTGATGAAAAGTCCAATTTTGGCTCATTTACATACTATTCTCAATTTTGGTGTAGAATAACTCCAAATGACTTGAAACGTCGAGAGACCATATAATAGGCACATCGGATTTTCTGGCGAAAACATATAATTCTCCTTTTGAATGTACGAAACAAAGACATGAGATTGTTCACCCTTAAGATAGACTCGCACATTTTCTTAAAATGTCCTATCAAAAATCATTTCTATTATTTGTATGAGGCCTATTACCAAATGGTTCGACTTGATTTTTATCCGTGGAAACGAAAAAAAGTGTCTCCAGTAGGGGCAAGTAGGGCACAACGACAAATCATGCCACTTTGCGAGCGAGCGCGTCTATATATTTATTTATATAATAATACTGGACTAAGTATTCAACTGAGATCTTATCAAATCGTTTTTAATACTCTAATACGCCAAACACCGCACGAACTTTTAATGTAAAAACTTGGGGGTACACCTATATATTTTTGTATGTATTTCTATACACTATTATACTCACTTGTAAATGATATGGCTGTGTCAATTTATTCTTATGCACCATAGGTAATAATGAGAATTGACGTGTTTTAGGTTTATTAAGAAAACTTGCTTTTGAGACACAATGAACTGGTAAAGTCTATTCAAATAAAGTACATACAAACACACATACACACAAGCGTTGTTTAGCCATAAACAATTATTCTAGAATATTTTTAGTATAAAAATCAAGTAACCGATTTTTGAGTAGTATATAAGTGAAAGGGGCAGCTAACACAAATCTAATTGATGGTTTACCCACTGCAACGCTTGCCACATATAAATGTTCTTGCGGCATTACAATAGTCAATGCAAATGCTTGCCTAAATTGAAACTGATTCTATTGAATTGCCATATTTTGATCTATTATTACCGCGCTTTTCTTTAATACATAAATATTTTAATTACGAAGAAAAATCTGCACATTTTTAATTATGTTGTGGCATGCCCAGCGAATCGTGAGATTTTAAATACTCCGGAAAATTTTACAGATTTGCCATTGTGTTGTATGATTGCTCTTTGCGATAATTCTTCGAATCAGCGATTAGGCAAGGATTGATTGATAATTTGGTGTATATCTAATTTTATCCATTGTATCCTTTGTGTCGCCAATATCTACATAAGAATTGTTTTGAAAATGTTTCATCGAAAAGACCGGATAAATTTAAGCTTTTCTATGAGCTAAGAAAATTCTTGATCGAAATTCAATAATTCGATCGTCAACAGACGATATTTGATCAGATATCGAGCTATATAAAAATGATCGAGTTACTAAAATGACTATCAAGAAATGTGGTCAAAATTTAGAGTTGTATGTATTTTTAAATTTCGCATCAAAAAAATTACAATAAAAAAATTGAATGTTACCCTTAACAGAAACAAATTGCTGTTTCAAGTAAAATTTAAGCTTTTTCATAAACTATGAAATATCTAAAATAAAATTAAGTAAAAAACATTCATTTGCAGCACGCGGGATGAAAAATTATTCGATTACTAAAATGACCTACAAAATAGTAGTTTGTGGTAGTAGGGTGAAAATTTGTGGCTGCGTTTTATAAATAAAAAATAATTACAAATTATAAAAAATAAAATTGGAATAACCAAATGAAATCTCGAGGGCGGCCAATCCTTGCTATTTCGTTGTCCGATTCTCAGTTATACTGAACGTGATTGTAATATTTGATAAAAATCGGTCAAGCCGTTTCGGACAAATATTGAGACAAACATCATGACACGAGAATTTTATTTAGATAGATATAAATAAAAATTAATTAAAAAATATGACTTTAAAAATTATTTTTAACAATAAAAACAGAAGCACAAACTCATTACAAAATAAATGTGAAAATTATTATTATTAGTCAAATTTGTTATTACTTTGTCAGTCCGTGTATGTGCAAATCAAGATTAACACAAAACCTTGGCAGGTTTTGAATGATTTTTTTAGTTTTAAAACAGCTAACTATCCAATTGAAGAATTGAACAATCTCTGCTCTTGTCATTTCCCAAGTAAGGAAACGCACTTATTATATATTTAAATATTTACTATTGACTTCACACTTCGCCCAGAATGTTATTCTACATTTGTCTGAATTTATTTGGTATTGTATTTTGTATCTGCGTAGTTGATGAAAACTACGCCCCAAATAACATAATTTTCCACCGGTCAAATTGACCGACCGCGGTAGTTAGGTCACATAACACTTCTTTTTCGAAAAATTGAAAAAATAATTAAAATCAAAAAGTGAAAAAAATATCATTATGTTCTAAGAATTATCATATAGTTTGATAATGGCATTTTAACGCTTAAAAACGTGTAAATTATTATTTGAATTAAATGATAAAATAGATAACTTTCTAATGGTAGGTCAATTTGACCGCGCGTGGTAGGTATAGGTATACACGAATTGCCGGTAAGTTTAGCGTTAAAATTTTGTTAAAAAAATAATCCAAACTATTCCATAATATACTTAAATTTAGAATTTATAATAGTTTTAAACTTACAAATCAGCGTAAATATTATATTTTTTTAAGATAAATACTTATACAATAAACTGAACACAGCACATGTCTCCCTTATGTTGTCACTCTGCAACTGTTCCTGTCGTGATAAAATTATATGTAAATATATCTGAAGTTAGTTTTATTTTTTATTTCAAGTAAAATGATTTATAATAATTTGCGTTTTACAGTCTTTATTTGATACTGTACTCAGAATATATTTTTATCGGCTTATGGTTAGAATGTGACAAAATTTTACAAGTTTTTTTTTAATATAAATATAACTAATATGGCTGTTATTTATGTGTAGGTAAAATTTTATCCAAGCTTTCGCAAGCCAATGTACGTGATACTAATTAAAACACAGGGAGGAACAATGACGATTTATTTGACAAGTTTGGGTGAAAATCCGTTATTGGTAAGTTCTTTATAATTTCTTGTTTAATATAAGATTATTATACAGAAATCTTTAGTTACGCCATTGACAATTTTCTGTGAACAAAAGGAAAGTTATATGTATTTCCTGATATATTAATCCTTCTGCAAAAATGTCATTATCTGATTGCCTTAATCTGCTCATCTTTCATTAAAATAAGGATGTAAAACCTTTTAAAATTTGAAAAATCTTCTTGTTCTGGAAAGACTAGACAACAAATTATCTATGACGATATATTAATGACCCAATGTTTGAAAAAATATTAAACGTCTATCTCAAAACCTTGCCCTAATTCGGATGCAAATATTTAATATAAAATGTCCGACAATAAGTTGCGTGACAAAGGCGCCGCATTGCTTTTCATTTTACCGGTGTAAATTCTAATAAATGTCTCTCAACACGAAATATAATTAAATGCAAATGTATAAAGAAGCTGAAGAAAAAATGGTCAGAAAATTAGGTATGAGACTCCATAAATAGTGCATAGGTGCATATACATAGCTACATTCTTTTTATCTGTTTTTTATGATTAAACAAAAATAAAAGAAATCATTGATTTTTTATATCGGCGCAACGTTTTCTTCCTGATTTTTTTTTTAAATAATCATGATGAGATAGTTGTTTTAAATTCAATACAGAAAACTACGAACAATTTGCTATAATAAAATATATAGAATTTATATTTGAAGACATTCATATTTAACTCTTTTCTTCAATGCGAATTTATTTCCAATTGTATTTCAATAAAAAATCAAGGATCCGAAAATTTAATTATTTCCTTGAATTGAAGTTATTAAGCTAACTTAACATTTGCTGCAATTGCAAAACAATAATCTGCTTATATTTTAGAACATCAATTACCAAACATACAATAAGATCATAACATCATTGTAACGTAAAATGAATAATCCACAGAATTGAAAGCTGAAGAATTAAAATCTGTCTGTCCGTGTGTCTGCTAGTATACCAATTATTTTGGAATAAAAGGAAAATTCTAATTAGAACAGATTTATTCGTAACATAAAAATCGTCATAACAATATAATAAAAACAAAAGAATTCATATATAATCTTCATTAATATTTCATTCTGAGTATTGTTTGTTATGGTGGTGTATTCAAATTCATCAGATCCGACTTGATTATTCTCAATTTGTAATACTATTCACTCAGCACAACACTTCAGATTTTGACTTCTTATTTTTCTTTTTCTTTTTCAATGGCACTTCGGTTTCCTCAGACGCTAGATTTTGATCAGTACATGGATTTTCATCACTTTCCGCTATATGTTTCTTGGATTTTTTATTCTTTTTCTGAATTACAGATACATTATCTAATTGAGCTTCGTGCAAATCACAATTAGAAACTGTGGAGTTTTTTTCTTTATCTTGATGTTTAGATTTCTTTGGTTTCTTCTCTTGGACTATGTCATTTTCAATCAGTTTAGAAGATTCTGATTCTTGATCGACCTCTGACTTTTCCTTTAATTTCTTTTCTTTTTTCTTTTTTTTCTTCTGTTCTTGTTTATTTGTGTCATCAGTACATAATTCAGATACTACAGTTTCTGGTGATAAATCATCTTTATCTGATTTTTGTTTTGATTTTTTATGTTTATTAGTATATTCTGAACTACTATCAATTAATTGTTTTGAATTAGCTTCATTATCTACAGAACATTTGGATTTACTTTTCTTATCTTTGATAACCAAATCTGTATTACTACTGTTCGTAATATCAAGATTAGTTTCTGAATTGATGGTATGTTTTTTGTGCTTCTTTTTCTTTTCTAATTGTATATCAGAGTATGCTACTTCATTGTCAATTTGACTATTTTCACTATTCATGGATGAAACTTCTTTGACCGACTTGTGCTTATCTTTTTTCTTCTTCTTCTTTGGTATATGATTATTTTCTTGATCATCAATTGTACTATCAATATTTTGATCAGGGGTGTCAATTTGAATATTTTCTATATTCTCAGGTGAAATTTCTTCAAGAACTTGTTTGTTTTTATTTTGTTTCTTTTTCTTCTTAGGTAATTGATTATTTTCTTCATCATCAATTGTACTATCAATATGATTTCCATTATGTTGACCATGAGTATCATCAATACTATTATCTATTAAATTTTCTTCATGACTGCTTTCTTTTTTTCGTTTCCTCTTCTGTTTTCGTGTTTCTGTAATATCAACTTCACCTATTTTTTCCTGTTTTATTTCCTCATTCTCGTTATTAGCACCTACAAAGCCATTTAAAATGCTCTCACTAGTAGTTGCTTCTTCTAAATTCATTTTAGGTTTTTTTATTTTTGAATTTGAACTCATAACTTCATTAGATTCATCAGCATTTTCCTTCTCACTCTTCAGAATATTCTGATTATCACTGCTAGTAATTTCTTTATCAATATTAGCACTCTTCTCTTTCTTAATCTTTTTTGATTTCAACTTTGATCATTAGTATTTTCTTCTTTGAGTTCTGTTTTAATATAGGATTTATTATAATCTATTGATTCATCATTTTGCCCTTGGTCATTTTCCGGTTTGATATTATTTCTGATATTATTATTACTCATGCCATAATTAACCATATCCGTGTTACCATATTCATAGTCATCTTCAGGTTCTTGTTTTATTTCCTTCCATTTCTTTCCTTTGACATATACATCACGCTCATCATGAGGAGCTATTCTTTCAAAAACAGCTATGAAAAATCCATTAGTGTAATCAACCTCTGATTTGGAGTAAAGACAATTTTCACCAATGCCCTCGTATTTATCTGAACCGAAGCTTAGCCATTCTTTCTTCAGCAGCTCTTTAGCTGATACTAACCGAAACTGCTTTGTTGTCTCAAGAACCTAAAACAATTGATGATTGTAAATAAAAATTTCTCATGGTGTAGTGTTAGAGATTCATTGCTAATTTGATTCATTAAGGTTAAAAACTTTTAAATAAAACTGAGCTTATCAAAATTAAGAAATCGATTACAATTATAATATCATTTAAGAGGGTATTCAGGTCTAAAATTGAAAAAAAAAAAGTTTGTTTTTTTGCATATTTTCAAAGTTTGGCTGTTTAAGAATATGTGTGCAAGAGGGATTTTCAAAATTTGAATTATTTTCAGAGATACAGCTGTTTGAGCACAATAATCCTCTTCTGTTTCCTTCCTCGACAAAACTTCAAACATGATTTCTATCGATTCTTATACTAAATCGATTGACTTGAAATTTTTTACTGAATCTTTTTTATAGACTTTTCTTCAATATGAACTATGCTCATCCTCAAATTCCAGTTTTTATCATTTTTAAAAAATTCAAGAATAAAAGTTTTCAGACAGTCGTTATATTGTCAAAAAAAAAACATTTTTTTAATTTGTTACCATTGCGACATTATTCTAGATTGATAATATATAATTATTTTTTCTTCAACAAATGAAAGACTGAAATCAGGAGAAGCCAATTTTTTGAGATCCCCTACTTCATCACCTTTATGACTATTTTGAATTTTCTTTTTCTTATATTATCAAAACATGAATTAATAATTTGCAAAAAATATATGTATAGCAAAAATATAGTTTGCGTTTTTTATGGTCTTTCAAAAATTGCATTAAATTCATGTTCCAGACCAGAATACCCCATTGATTTGATACAATTTAACTATGAAAAGTGCTTCATGCTACTTATCATCAAATATAGATGGATTTTAATTGATGTTTTGTTTCAAGAGCACCAATATACTTTAAAAAACCTATGTATGTATTATAGCAAGAATGTAAAAACTATATGATTCTTACTTCTTTCACAACTTGTTCATTTTCTTGAGTATGTGTCGAACATGTTGAATATAAAACTCTTTTAGCTTTGGGAAAAGCAGTCAAAGCTCTCCTTAATATTAGAATTTGAAAACCAGCTAATCTTCTAATCTCTTATCTTGAATGGTTGGAGCGGCGGTTTCTATGCGACCTAACATACCTAAAACAAACATTATATTATGAAAAACAACATTATTATTTTGATTATACTACTAATAGATTCACTGCTGGGAATATCTATAATAAAATCCTCAAAACATATATCAAATGATATCTATAATAACCCAATGTTATTCCATTTTTATATTATTAACAAACTGTGCTCATTGTTTTATCTAATAGATTGCAGAATAAATTTAATTAGGAACGAAAACATAATGATTTCATTTTACAAAAAAATAATGACTTCATCTTTCAAATCAAATATTCTTAATTCTTTTTCACTAACATGATTGTTGTTGAAGTATTATTTTCACTGAAAATGTTTGTTTTTTTGTCAAATTAGCTTTTTTTTATCCACTGAGGAAGTCAAATTTGTATATATATATATAACCATAATTACCTGTGCCTGAACAACTAGGGTCAACTAAAATGTATTCAATGTCTGGACATTGCTCATCAGTAATTTTAAGAGCGTCTTCATTTATAGTTTTCACACAAGTTGAATTTGTTGCTTGAACAATATCAGACAGAACACCATGCCTTCGTGTATCTTTTTCAATTGCATAAATTGTTCCCTTATTTCCAACTATCGCTGCTAAATGTGTGTGGTTTTCATTCCTGGAGCAGCGCACATATCTAGGACATTTGAACCAGGTTCTGGTGCTAACATATGTGCAGCCATGCATGAGGCCTAAGAAAATAATATGCATTAATAATCAGTAATAATTGCAATATAAAAAAATCATCTAATGATGATATGATCTATAATTAAATTAATGCACAAATTAGATAATTCATGCTTATTTTATAATATTACATATTCATTATATAAATATAGAAATAATAAATATATATTTATATAATTATAGAATATATTATATATTTTATAATAAGGAATATTTTTAAATTACCTTGTCTTGTAAAACAATGTGCCCTTGTAAATAGCATTGATAATCATGAAATTGTGTATCAGGCGGAAACACAAGCAGTTCGGGTATATGAAAGTCTGGTATGAAATGTTCAGCTGGTAGTTCTAAAACCACTTTTAAAAAATCTCTGTAAGTCCAATCGATGTTATGCCGAATCAAAGTCCATCCTTCGTCCCTAAAGCCATCTATTGCTTCTTGCATCGTCAGAGTCAGAGTATTGACTCTAACATATCTTGGATGATAGAGTTCTGGTAGTTTTTTTATCAGTCGATAATGCTGTTAATAAATGACAATGGAAATAGATATTAAATGTTCAAAATACAACATTTTTCATTTTTATATTTTGAAATCATTACATGTTTTGTTATAAGAAAATAATTTGCATTTCAATTCAAATAAAATTCAAGTAAACTCAAAAACTTAAACTTCTAACAATTTAGACTGGTTCATCAATTTTCTATAGTATGGATTTTACATTAATTCAAAATATGTTTTAAAAAAAACAAAATATACAACTACTTTTGTATTAGATTGGCAACCAAGTAACTTTGGATTTTTGTTAGAATTTTCATGGAACTAAATAACTTTATTTTGTAACGAATTGCCCATTTTGATCAATAACTTTTTGTCATCTTTCAAGCAGTATCATTATCTTACACTATCAGATTTTCATTAGCCAAAAACTGAATCGGGTACAATATAACACCATAAAATTGTTCACCACTCAAAAGTAAATACAAAATTATCAGAAAGAAATTTGACACAACAACATTTTTATGACTTCATCACCATAAGCAGCTAATAACTTTTTGTGAGTTTAAGATGCCTTTTTTTGGACCTTTGCAGAAATGAAAGAGCAAAATATATTCATTTTCCAATGCCAAACAAAAAACAATCATCTATGATATCTAATTGCTTACTATCCATCAACGAAAGGTATTTTACATTTGAACTACGTCAGCAAATCTAAAAATTCAATTGAAACCATCTGAGTGTTAACACCGCAATTACTTAGTTGCCAACCTAATCGTTTCACGTTTTATTACAAAAATAATTATATAAAAAATAAAATGTAATTAAATTAAATTTTCCAGTAGTATCTTTACATATGAGAAACCAAATTATTGAGAAAAAGAAATATATTTCACATGTATACAGAAAACTTTCACACAAAAGAATACTAAATTTAATCAAAACTATAAATTAATTATTCGTCTTTGGGTTTAGGGGGTTCAGGATAACACTTTGGTCGATTTCTTTTCCTTCTTCATCATACTCTTTTTCATGATATGCTCTATACGCATAGGCTATAATAACTGCATTTGCTGCTTATAACGGCTGTTAATACAGAACAAGCCGTATAGTAAATCCTACAATATGCAAATGCTCTGCTAAATAATGTCTCGTGCCAAAAAATGCAGCAAATGGGAATGTAAA